TCCGTCTCAATGAACTTTTAGCCCAGTTAATAAAGAGCATTTACCCTTACCCTTGATATCCCTGAGTCCAAATCTATCCTTCTCACTTGTATAAGAAACATGTGTAAACTTCCTTTACAAAAAGATTAAGTGTTATAAACCATTAAAAGTATATCTACATAAATCCAACTTAAAAATAAAATGTGCCGATAATACAAGATTATTGGACCAATACCAAGTTGCGGTGAACAAAAGCCGACCTATTAGCCGGAGACAGTAGGGTGTGGGGACTGATAGCTGAAGAAAAAAAAAATATCAAGGAGTCTGTATTTAACTATCTTTTGTAGATCACATAGACCACGTAACGTTCCAATTGATAATTGGATTTTTTTTAATGATTTAAAGAAGAAATTCACAGTGGTGGAAAGGAGTTGAGCCTAACATGACAATGTGGGTTCGAATCCCGTCGGTGGCTAATTTAACATCTAATCTAACAAAATCTATAATTTGACAAACAAAAAAAATCCAATCATCAACCTGCCCATGTTATGTTGTTTACAAAATATGATTCAATTAGATGGTTTCTCTCACATCACCCTAAAATAATATAAGAAGATTAGAGCTCTAACAATTGTGATTAATTTTCATATTCACTGGGAAATCGGGTGGTGAGCAGTCAAATGCTGTACCTTCTCATCACTCATCAGTGATTCAGAATGTAGCTTGGGGTTTGTGACTATTAATTAGTAGCCTGAGGCTATGAGAGGTGCTTGGATTTTTTGCCAAAAAAGGGGAAAATGGAAAAAAAAGAAAAGAGGTGCTCGGATAAAAGAAAAGAAAAACGAGTTCTTTGTTGCAACCGATAATGCTTGAAAAACAAACAAACAGAGATTAATCAGTACTATCTCATCAAAAGAAAGTATGACCGCATGATCCTCTATTAAATGGATGATGTGGCATTTGTGGAACCTGCTTGAATGTCGTGAACAGCCACACTTACACCAGTGGAATCAAACTGTGTGATTGATTATCGTTTTGGAATATGAAGTATTGATTAAGGAGAAGACGAAACTCTATGATAACTAGTTTTGGCCCATTAGTGCAAACGTGATCCACTTGTCAACTCACAAATGAGTGATACGCTTGTTGCATTATTAGTTTAACGAAATGATCATTAAATTGATTAAATTTCAAATCATCACGGTACAAGTGAAAAAATTGAAATGTCATAGCTCATTTAAAAATCACTCCAAACATGTCGAATGTGAAATGTAGTTAGCCCTAAATTTTAAGTGATCATATAATCGTTCTCGATTTTTCTCTTATTTTATAAATTGATTGATGCTAAAAACAAAAAAAATGTTATTTTTTTCATATGCCTTACCTATTTTGAGTAAGATTTGCAATGAATATTATCTAGTAATCTGAATAAAAGTAATCAATAAGATGAGAATTAGTCTCCTATTGGTTGAGTTGCTTGAATTAGTGTATATATTTATGGAGTCCCTTCACATAGCAAGCTACATTTCTGATCAGATAAGTTTTTCTATTTCCATTTGGCAATAAGGCTAGCTAGGTATATAAGTAGCTGAGCCAGTACAATATCGGTTGGTGATCTTAATATATAGGACCACAAAAAAGGGTTCTCAATCACCCTATGATCTCTGCAATTGTCAGCTTAAACTTGTAGATTGATATATGCAAAACCTTTTATTAGGCATCCACCAAGAGATGGACAAATTTGTTCTTGTACTCAAGGAAATTCCAATTAAGAAACACAAACAAAAAAAACCTAGAATCTCCAACCCATGAAGCGAAAAGAAGAAGATTAAATAAAGTTTAAATAGCTGTTATTGATACTTCAAAAAAATCATTACGCACCGGTACTGTTTTTTTTATGATGTAAGTGTGATTCTAGATTAATATTCTTTCTTTGATATTGTATAGAGAAAATTTCGAATTTGTAATTAGCAAGCAGAAGATTCATTGACAAAGTAATCAGAGAATCATGCTGTACCAAAAGAATAAGCATATGAATAGAAGAAGAAAAAAGCAGAGTAATCTATTAGAAAACCTTATTGTGTCTTTATCATCCTTATTGTGTCTTTATCATCATAACAATGTTGAACTTGGCAAGTCCATATAATAAATTAAAATTTAACAACAAAATGCAAACATGCTTCGAGGCGATATAAAAACTATTTTTTTAAAGAATTTTAGCCAAAATGATTTTCTAAGACTAACATAATTTCTCACTTAGGTTTTTACAATGAAAATTTATAGAAGTAGTCATTGAGTTTGTCTAGCGTAAATCATTTTGGTCATTCCATAAAAAATATGGCAATATTCTCGTTAGATTGTAACATGAACAACCATGTGATCACCTTTTTAAGGGTATTTTTGTCTAACCAGCCATTCCACTTAACGAGAATATTGACAAATTTTTTACAAAATGACCAAAATGAGTTACGGTAGACAAATGACTACTTCAAACGATTTTCATTATCAATGACCAAAATAAAGAATTTTCATTGTCAAGCACCAAAATAAAATATGTCAATTTCAAGTATCATTTTGTTTAAAAAACCATTTCTAAAATCAAAACGCACGCACGTATTCATTTACAAAGGCACAACAAAGAGGAGAGGTAATAAAGTCAAAGGGTCAAACTTGAAACCCTCTTTTTCTCACTATATAAATTCTTGCTGAACTTGGTTTGGGTTTCTTTTGTTTACGGATGGAGTGAATTAATCACAGTTCTATCCGGTTAGTCATGTTCCCATAGTTGCATGACTTTTTGAACAGAAAACAAGGTTTATTATTTCAATTTCCACATCTACTTTTGATTTGGTAGATGTTGATTAATCTTATCTGTACCTGTTACTATTTTGTGACTATATATGATTTATTTGACTTCCCAATTCTATATAATTAGTACCATTGAAATACATTTGACATACGTTAAGCCTACCTTTCTACAATTTCTCATTGTTGCTTAAGTGGAACAAAATTAACTCAAACATTGCTTATGAAGAGAATGAAGTTGCATAATCTTTCATAAAATTTTCAATCCCGCAGCAACACGCGCACAAATATCTAATAATTAACTATGTTTAGATATTCTACATCGAAAAAGAAAGCTTTGCCTAAATATTTTAAATAATCTTCTAAACATCGAAAAAGGAAGCTTTGCCTAAATATTTTAATAATCTCAAGTCTCTCCATGCTATTGCTAATTAATTGATATTAGATTGGACGGCACGTTCTAATAATATATATATACAATGCGCTCTTATTCATGTATGTATGTGACGGGCACGTTCTAATAATATATATACAATGCGCTCTTCTATTCTGAAATAATTCTATTCTCTTCATGTAGCTACTAATCAATGGTTTGATGCCTTGAGTCCGAGTTGGGGTTGGTCTTACTTCATTGCACTGGACACGTATGTATGTATGTATGTATGTATGTATGTATGTATTCTATTCTGAAATAATTATATTCTCTTCCTGTAGCTACTAATCAATGGTTTGATGCCTTGAGTCCGAGTTGGGGTTGGTCTTACTTCATTGCACTGGACACGTATGTATGTATGTATGTATGTAAGTGAAATAATTCTATTCTCTTCCTGTAGCTACTAATCAATGGTTTGATGCCTTGAGTCCGAGTTGGGGTTGGTCTTACTTCATTGCACTGGACACTTTCAGTCAGGCCGGCAAGGGCGATTTTGTTAAGGATAGTTGCTTGGTGGAGGCCGAGGTCACCGTCCATGGGAAATTCTCAAGTAGTGTAGCTAGCCAGCTAAACCATGTTATCATGCAGTGTTAAATTTGCTTCCACCCACCCTGTGATTGCATTTCTTTGGAGTTACTAATTATTATATTTTATATGTGTTACTTAACTCGAAGTTTTTGAAGTAGTCCATATACTTGCTTCTCTTCCAAGAAATTCATATGCTTGAGATTTTATTAAATGATGAAAGAAAGGGACGTATGGAGGTATTCATCCTCATATATCTACCAATTATTTTAGAGGCATTTTAGGTTTAGGGGCCCGTTTTCCATATTTTCCTTATCTACCAATTTCACTATTAGTTGCCGCTAATTTTTCATCAGAAATTAGTGACAGTGCTTGTATTTTTAACTGTTTTACCGTGTAATTTGAGTTAGCAGTACATCAATAACTGATCTCGGAACCCTTGCAACCAAATATTTTCAAATATTGGTACCACATCAAGAAGGTATAGTGACCTTCTTCAAGGCCACAACTGAGAGTTTGAGTAATTTAGCAAATAACAAATCCTAGCTAAAACATATTACTCTTAATAAAAAAGCATGTGTATGTGTGTATATATATATAAGTCCCTTCCCTTAAAGGCTTCTTATATCAGGCCCTTTAAGGGAAGGGATCCCTATTTTTCAAAAAAAATGAGGATACCCTCTTGACCATTAGATTTGACTTTAATGAAATTTTGTGGCTGAGATTAAATCACAGGCCATAAAATCTCAACCACAGGATTTCATTAAAGCCAAATCTAATGGTCAAGATGATGCCTTTTTTTTTTTCTGAAAAATGGGGATCCCTTCCCTTAAAAGCTTCCTATATATATATATATATATATATAGATATATAACCCTACAGGCTGAAGGATTATTAAAAAAAAATACTTAAAAAAATCACATTTCTAATAGAAAGTGAATTCTCATTATTGAATTTTTCAAGTTGACGGGCGAGGACCCCACTCCAACAATACCAATATGGTGTTGGTTATAGTGAGGTAATTTTATTTAAACTCTTTCTTCTTTCCCTTACCGATGTGGGAATTTATCCGCCATGACAATCGACCTCTTGCCACTTAGACAAGGACTTAAGAACTAATATATAAACACGTAACAAACTCTGTCGTTTGTGTTAAACCAAAGACGTCCGCATCACCTATGCTTCCTGCTGTTGTTGAGTCCTAACGTGCCATTGCTACTGCTGTTGTCTAGTTCTGCAGGAATAAGGAGTCCTAGTCTTCATTGGAGTTTTTGTATCATGTTGAATTATAATTCTTGGATGACTTGTAGATATCTTAGTTCATATCCCGCACGGATTAGACTTGTGTTTATATTCTCTATAAATATTAACGTGCAATACTCGCTCTATTCATTGAGTTGAGTTTACAGATCATTCAATTTTTCTAGTTTAACATCATTCGGTTTGTAACCCGATCACGATCAACGTTCGCTGGTCAATTTTGTTGCCATGGGTAGCCTTAACTTGGATCAAGGTGGTAAGATACTTTCTGTGTCTCTAATTCTTTACGTGCGTTTCAAGCATTGTTTTGCTTTTCCAGAATTTTAGTGACTCAGATGCCTAATGCCTGCATATTTTGAAACTTTGTTGTGTTGCCCCTATTCGGTTACAGGGATTTCGAGATCATATTCAGTTTCACCCGCAACTCATTACACTTTAAAATTAGAGTCGTTTTCAATGCTAAAAGAACTTACAGGGGATCATAGATTTGAATCGGACGAGTTTGAAGCTGGAGGATACAAATGGTAGTACATATTCTTGTACATATCTGCTGATTAAACAAACCAAATTGCAAAACATTCATGTCTTGTATATTATTCTGTTACTTGTGTATATATGATTCTGTAACTTATGTATGTATGTTTTGGTCATAAAGGAAACTGGTGATCTTCCCATATGGAAACAAGAAGAAAAATGTGGAAGGCCACATCTCTATCTACTTGCAAATGGCTCGAACAGATTCACTTCAGCCTGACTGGGAAGTATATGTTGACTTCAGAGTGTGTTTGCTTGATCAGGAAAAAGGAACCTACGTGGTTTTTCAAGGTATGTATGATGTGTGTGTTTTCTCTAAGTGATATCCACACACTCCTTTTCTCCCTTTGAACACCCATTTTATTTTTTTTCTCTTTCTATTGAATAAATCAAATCAAAGAAGAATCAAGGGAGTGTGCGGAAATCATTTCCCGATATTATATACCCATCTATTTACACTTAATTTTCATGCATGCAGCAGATCATATAGACCAGTTATTATTTCATTATATTGAAAACACATTGCTTAATTTTTCTGATTTTTTTGGTGTTGCGGTACTTAGACGATAAGATAATGCAGAAGTGCCTTCATGGGGCGGCGCCTGATGTAGGTTTTGATAAACTTATCTCCCTTAAGGAACTTGCTGATGCCTCCAATGGATATGTCATTAACGACACCTGTGTGTTTGGAGTGGAGGTTTTTGTTCGTAAAGAAAGAAGAGCAGGCAACGGAAGGTCCATATCAATGACCAAGAATGCTGCGATGTACACGCATGTTTGGAAGATTGAGAACTTTTCAAAGTTAAAAGATGAATATTATTGCTCCAAACCATTCACCGCAGAAAACCAGAGATGGTAAACTACTGTCAACTTTCTTCTCTCCCTCACCAGGAACGAAAGGAGATCGATGCTTTCAGTTTCAATTATATGTTTAGATTGATATGTGAAACTTCATGCATCTTCTATAAAACCTGTATGTTATTTGGAGTTTTACTTTACACTAATTTGTTGGCTATTGCAGGAAGATAGATATATATCCCGAGGGAGATGGTGCTTCAAAGGGTACTCATCTTGCACTTAACTTAACATTGGCTGATGCAGAAAAGCTACATCCTCGCTCCCAAATCCTTACAAAGTTCACCTTTCGTATTGTAGATCAAATGCATCACATGCATCATTGTAGTTTTCCAGGTAAAGAGTGTCCCTATTACTACGTTTTATGTTATATGTAAAGTAACCACACACATGTATAGTCTCCTTTCGTGGAAGAATTTTTTTTTTTTTTTTAAACCTCGGCTGTACGAATGGAATTTTAAGAAAAGAAAAAGTTACACGTGACATAAATTATTAAAAAAAAATGAAAAATACATGAAAAAAGAGTAATATAAACCTTACCTGAAAGAAAACCAAGAAAGCTTCGATGCACCCTTCTCAATTAATCAAACCTTGAAATAGAGTGCAGCAATTACTAAGAATTGTTTCTACTTGTAGGTACTACTTGGTTCAGCGCTTCACAAAAGAGTTGGGGTTGGCCGTCATTCATCACACTGGCCACTTTGAATGAGGCAGACAAGGGATTTTTATTGAACAATACTTGCATAGTCGAGGCAGACATCATCGTCATTGCAATTGCTAAAGCACTATAGTGAGCTTGATGTAAAACTAAAACTCGATCCGGGGATGTATTCATGCTATTAGTTTGATGGCATTGGTCGACAATGACTTGAAACCATTCATCATTCTTAATAAATGTGATTGGGAAAAAGAAAAAAAAAACATTTAATGCTATTATTTTGATGTCACTCACCCAAAGATTTCATCATTCTTAACAAATATGATTGAGAAGAAAAAAATTACATCTAATGTTTTTATTTTGATGTCATTTCTCAACAGTTACTTAAAGTTATCCATCATTTTGCATGTGGCCTAATATATTAGTGAATGTGTTTGGATTTCTACTTATGCGTCCCGGGTTCGAAACTCTTCTATCTCCTAAATAATTATAATAATTTCGTACCACTAGTACAAAAACATGTTTGCGCGACGAAAACTTGCGCAACGTAATTTTGCGCGACGAAGGACGGCGTCGCGCAAACTTTTTGCGCCAAACCAAAAGAATTTACCTCTTTTTCCCAACTTTGCGCGACGCATGCCCACCTACGTTGCGCAAAGTCAACAACTTTTTTTCTTTTCATTTGATCAGTTTGGGAGGCAGAAACTGCATACCCAGTTGCAGCAGCTACCTCCATCGCCCATCTCTCTCTTCAAAACCGTCTACCACATCAGGTTTGAAGTTTGAATTGATATCAATTCTTTGTGTTTTTTCGATTGCAATCCTTCCCCTTTGCTCTTAAACATGATGTAAACTGAATTAATAATATGTAGATCCTTCATGTGATTCATTTACGAAATTGAAATTGCAAAATCAAAGGAGATAATTATCTTGCTCTTAAACATGATGTAAATTGAATTAATAATATGTATACTCTCCCAATAAATTAAGTTGGTTTTGTTTTAGTTTTAAGTTTGAAATAAACTACCAAGTAACTCACGAAAAGAAAACAAAAAGGAAATAAAAAGAATTTTGATATGCTTGTTAGATATAAAACTCCGCCGTGTAAGTTTATCTTACATTGCCGGTCCCAAGCCCGGATAAAGGAGGAGGGGGAGGGCGTCAGGTAGTCGACAGCCGGCACTCCATGATCACATCGAATCCTTATGAAAATGAATCCAGAACGAAATCGCGCTAAAGCTAGGGCGTCACCCGTAAGTGGCGCGCTGTGTGGCCTGAGCACAGTGATAAGTGAGCAAGGGTCGCTGTATCTCCATCGGCACCCGGATACAGTGTTAAATGAGCAAGGGGGCTATAGAAACTTCTTTTCGAACGACTCCACTCAAAGTTGTTTGGGAGCATATGCTCCTATCAACTTTACACGGGACACACAAAAGAAGTACTTTGATCCTATTAGACGGGGAAGGGTGAAGAAGCTAGGACAGAAGGGTAGAGTTCAAGAGAGCAAAATGCGTTTAGGAACGTGGAATATAGGAACCTTGACGGGAAAATCTATGGAAGTAGTAGAAGTTATGGTGAGGAGAAGGATAAATATTATGTGCCTACAAGAAACTAAATGGGTTGGTCGTAAGGCAAAGGATCTAGAAAACTCAGGGTTTAAACTATGGTATTCGGGCACAAATAGAACGAGAAACGGTGTTGGCATCATCGTGGACAAGACCTTGACACAAGATGTTGTAGATGTCAAGAGGGTAGGAGATAGAATCATGGCAATCAAGATTGTAATAGGACAAGAACTTATCAATGTGATTAGTGCGTACGCACCTCAAGTAGGGTTGGATACGAGTTCGAAGGAGAAATTTTGGGAAGACCTTGGAGACTTGGTGCAAGGAATTGCTCAGACGGAGAAGTTATTTATAGGAGGAGATTTAAATGGACACGTGGGCAGGGAGACAGGCAACTATGGAGGTTTTCATGGTGGCCATGGTTTTGGGGAGAGAAACGAGGATGGGGAAGCTATCTTGGATTTTGCAATGGCATATGATCTCTTCTTAGCCAACACCTTCTTTAAGAAGAGAGAAGAATATGTGATCACCTACAAGAGTGGGTCGTCAAAAACACAAATAGATTTTCTTCTAATGAGGAAAGGGGATCGTATAACTTGTAAGGATTGCAAAGTTATACCAGGAGAGAGAGCGTGACTAATCAACATCGCTTGTTGGTGATGGATGTACATATCAAAAGAGTGAGAAAAAAGAACAAGACTTGGAAGTGCCCAAGGACTAGATGGTGGAATCTAAAAGAAGAAAAACAAGCCATTTTCAAAGAGAAAGTAATCACCCAGTGTGTGTGGGATAGAGAGGGGGAAGCTAACCAAATGTGGGATTCCATGGCTAGTTGTATCCGAAAAGTAGCAAAAGAGGTATTAGGAGAGTCCAAGGGCTTTGCCCCACACCAAAAGGAATCTTGGTGGTGGAATGAGGAGGTACAAGCAAAGGTGAAGGCTAAGAAGGAATGTTGTAAAGCCTTATACAAGGATAGGACCGATGAAAATGGTGAAAGGTATAGAAAAGCGAAGCAAGAGGCGAAGAAAGCTGTGAGAGAAGCTAAGTTAGCGGCTTATGACGATATGTATAAGCGACTAGATACCAAAGAAGGAGAGTTGGATATTTATAAACTAGCTAGAGCAAGGGAAAAGAAGACAAAGGACCTAAAACAAGTGAGGTGCATCAAGGATGAGGATGGAAAGGTTCTTGCTACAGAGAAACGCGGTTAAAGACAGATGGAAAGGTTATTTTCATAATCTTTTCAATGAAGGACATGAAAGGAGTGCTTCTTTAGGGGAGTTGAGTAACTCAGAAGAGTGTAGAAACTACTCTTTTTATCGTAGAATCCGGAAGGAAGAAGTGGGTGTAGCTTTGAAGAAGATGAAGCATAGAAAAGCAGTAGGCCCAGACGATATACCAATCGAAGTGTGGAAAGTTTTGGGAGAGACAGGTATAACATGGCTCACTGACCTTTTCAATAGGATTTTGAAAACGAAGAAGATGCCGAATGAGTGGCGAATGAGCACTTTGGTGCCTATCTACAAGAATAAGGGCGATGTACAAAATTGCATGAACTATAGGGGAATTAAGCTAATGAGTCATACAATGAAGCTCTGGGAGAGAGTCATTGAGCATAGATTGAGGCAAGAGACACGGGTTTCGGACAACCAATTCGGGTTTATGCCAGGGCGCTCAACCATGGAGGCAATCTATCTCTTACGAAGATTGATGGAAAGATATAGAGATGGGAAAAAGGATTTACACATGATCTTTATAGATTTGGAAAAAGCGTATGATAGGGTCCCAAGAGACATTCTTTGGAGGATTTTAGAGAAGAAAGGAGTACGAGTAGCATATATCCAAGCTATACAGGATATGTATGAAGGAGCAAAGACTGCCGTAAGAACTCATGAAGGACAAACCGAAAGCTTTCCCATAACTGTAGGATTACATCAAGGCTCATCCTTAAGTCCTTACCTTTTTTGCGTTGGTAATGGATGAGTTAACAGGACATATTCAAGGTGATATTCCTTGGTGTATGCTTTTCGCAGACGATATAGTGTTGATAGATGAAACTCAGGAAGGGGTAAATGCAAAGCTTAACCTTTGGAGAGAAGTGTTGGAATCTAAAGGTCTTCGCCTAAGCCGATCAAAGACAGAATATATGGAGTGCAAGTTCAGTGAAAATGGAGGCCAAAACGAGTTAGGGGTGAGGATCGGAGATCAAGAAATACCAAAGAGCGACCGTTTTCGTTACCTAGGATCTATCTTGCAAAAGAACGGAGAATTAGATGGAGATCTCAACCATAGAATACAAGCTGGATGGATGAAGTGGAAGAGTGCATCCGGCGTGTTGTGTGACCGCCGTATGCCACTGAAGCTCAAGGGAAAATTTTATAGGACGGCAATAAGGCCGGCGATGCTGTATGGCACAGAATGTTGGGCGGTGAAGCATCAACACGTACACAAAATGGGTGTAGCGGAGATGAGGATGCTTCGTTGGATGTGTGGGCACACGAGAAAGGATAAGATTAGGAATGAGGATATCCGGGGTAAAGTAGGAGTAGCCGAAATTGAAGGAAAGATGAGAGAAAATCGGTTACGGTGATTTGGACATGTGCAAAGAAGGCCTACTGACGCTCCGATTAGAAGATGCGACTATGGGACAGAGGTTCAGGGCCGAAGGGGCAGAGGAAGACCTAGGAAAACTTTGGAAGAGACCCTAAGAAAAGACTTAGAGTACTTGGATCTAACGGAGGACATGACACAGGACAGAACACAATGGCGTTCTAAGATTCATATAGCCGATCCCACTCAGTGACTTGGATTTTCCAAGTCTCCAACCGAGAAGTTTTCCTCACTCGGGAAATTAATGGAACACTACCTCAACCTATATGCTCCATTCATAAAGCTTCAACATACAAGCTTCAACAAAAGAAAATTCAAAGAACTTAGCGAAGAAGGCTTTGGTGTATTTAACACAATACGTTGAAATGAAGGAAAGCTTATTTATTGATATCCCCGATAAGTTACAAATATGTACATATACTTGAGTCAAAATAAACAAACAAGAGGGAGCCTTCACAAAGGTTGCTTAGGAGAAGTCTCAGCAGTCGGTAGAGCCCCAGAAAGAGAAGGCACCGGAGGGGGATCATTCGGAGCCTCAGTACTGGACAAAAACCCTAGAAGGAGGAGGCATCAGAGATTGATCATTTGGAGCTTCATTACGCGGTACAGCCCCAGAAGACGAAGGCAATAAATGCCTTTGGAACAAACCCACAAATCTCTGATGATCAAGTAAAACCTGACCATCAGATTCCTTCATCTGGTCAAGCTTCCTCTTCATGTTTGTAGTATAGTCATGTGCGAGCCGGTGCAACTGTTTATTCTCATGCTTGAGCCCTCTAATCTCCTGTTTGAGACTCATCACTTCAGCCGCCAATGATTCAACTTGGCGGGTTCGAGCAAATAGGCGTTGGGCCATATTAGACACAGAACCTGCACACTGAACACTGAGAGCCAGAGAATCCTTAACAGACAACTCATCAGACCGTTTGGAAAGTAGTCTGTTATCTTTGGGAGTGAGAAGGTTCCTGGCCACTACCGCAGCGGTCATATCATTCTTCATCACGGAATCCCCAACGGTAAGAGGACCAGTAGGGGAGACGAAGGATGGGCGCCATATGTTGTCTGGAGAAGGCGGGGATGCCTCTTCAACAAGGTTCAAGTCAAAACGACGGTCAGAGGGGCCAGACATTTTCAAAGGTGTTGAAGAGAGAAGAGGTCGGACAAATCAAGATCTTAGAAGTGCAAGAATGGAGCTTCTACTGGTGGATATTCAAGTGTGCTTTGGAACTTAATGTCAGCCCCTATAAAAATCTGCACTCGACGAAGCTTCAGAAATCGAAGAGGCGCCTGCTCAGAAATCGAAGAGGCGTTTGCTTTCTCAAAAGTTGGGCTGCTCAGAGACCACGAGGGTCGATCTCAGAAATCGAAGAGGTGTTTACTTTCTCAAAAGCTGGGCTGCTCAAAGACCACAAAGGCCGATCTCAGAAATCGAAGAGGCTTGCTTTCTCAAAAGCTGGGCTGCTCAGAGACCACGAGGGCCGATTTCAGAAATCGAAGAGGCACCTACTTTTCCAGCCTTGTCAGCACCTGTCACACGCACACTCAGTTTTGCGGAAATTATGGGCATTCTGTCGAAGATTTCTGGCGAAGTAGAAAGCACATGAATCGTACTGTTCAATCACCCACTTCCCACACGCAACAGTAGCTCATGGGTACCACAGATAACTTTGCCAAAGTTCTCTGACAAAGTTGAGACACGTGAAGCTTGCAGCTCCCACTACATCGCTCTGACCAAGAAGGGTAAAAGAATTGCAAAGAAACAACACTAACAAAGTTTAGACACATAAATTTTTGAAGGTCTAGCTACCATATTATTACCCACAAGGGTAAAGGAACAGTACCACTGCTGGATAATTGGAAAGTCCCGGTGTGTCAACCTCTGTGCTTCGTGGCAAGGTAGACTAGCAAACATGCCCAACCTTTACTCACATTCGAGAAAACACTCCTAACAAGATTGCTTGCTCCAAAATTGAAGAGGCACCGCCCTCCGAATCTCGAGAGCCAGACTCCCAACATGATTACTTTCTCAAAAATCGAAGAGAGGGTAAAGGAACAGTACCACTGCTGGATAATTGGAAAGTCCCTGTGTGTCAACCTTTGTGCTTCGTGGCAAGGTAGACTAGCAAACATGCCCAACCTTTACTCACATTCAAGAAAACACTCCCAACAAGATTGCTTGCTCCAAAATCGAAGAGGCACCGCCCTCCGAATCTCGAGAGCCAGACTCCCAACATGATTACTTTCTCAAAATCGAAGAGAGGGTAAAGAAACAGTACAACTGCTGGATAATTGGAAAGTCCCTGTGTGTCAACCTCTGTGCTTCGTGGCAAGGTAGACTAGCAAACATGCCCAACCTTTACTCACATTCGAGAAAACACTCCCAACAAGATTGCTTGCTCCAAAATCGAAGAGGCATGGCCCTCCGAATCTCGAGAGCCAGACTCCCAACATGATTACTTTCTCAAAAATCGAAGAGACACCGCTCTCCGAATCTCGAGAGCCAGACCCCCAGCAGGATTGCTTTCTCAAAAATCGAAGAGGCATCGTTCTCCGAATCTCGAGAGCCAGACCCCCGACAGGTCTGTAATCTTCACACGCAACATCAGCTTTCCAGATACCACATACCACTTTTTCAAAGTGCTCTGACAGAATTAAAACATGTGAAGCTGGCAGCTCCCACTACCGTGCTATAACCAAGCAGGGTAAAGGAATAGCATTATTACTTGATGCTAGGGAGACTCCTATATATGTCGACTTCCATCCCTAACGGACAGGCAGACCTGCAAAAATGCTCAACCCTTTCTCTTATCTGAGAGGGCACTCCCAACAAAGTCTTTCGAAATATTCAGCTTTCTTTCCCCCCGATAATACCTCTGTAAACAAGCTATACTAGAGCAAGAATATCTCATATCATCAGGGTTAAAAGCAAGAGTATCCCATATCATGCTTTTTCCCTGTCTTTTCCTTTGGCCTTGTTCTTACCTGCAAGACAAGGAGAAAGAGAGCAATCAGTCAACACTTGGAATCAAGCTTCCAGCCAGGAACTGACTGCCTGGAACCCCTTACCTGATTACTTACCTGGCATTGCTCTCGAGTACTCATCTTCAACATCTTATGCTTCCAGGGAAGATACCGAATCTGCCTGAGGAACAGATAGGGCAAGTGAGAAGGATACAAGGAAGCATGTGGAGACAAGCGTAACAGCACACGTGCCGATACATCCACTACTCTATCAAAAGCAAAAGTATCCCATATCAGCAGGGTCGAACGTACTCTAGATTTGATGGACTTGTTTTGACCCTCAAATTCTTCAGTCGGCCTTATACTCTGGAGGAAACCAGAAAATCCTCCAGCCCAGTTCAAGAATAAGCCTGTGGAAAGTTACTTCTTCAAAAGCAAAAGTATCCCATATCATCTCTCCTCATTTTTCTTCTCTTTATCCTTCATGCTGCCTGCAAGATAGGGAGAATGTGAACAATCAGCCGGAGCTCTGATTGCTTACCTTATCTGTCACCTCTTTCAGCAGATCCCCCAGCTCGGCGACTTGGGGGACTCCTACTACATGGTTTGTATCTCGCTTGACCAAGCATGAAACTACAAGTAAGCTTCAAGTGAAATTGATACATTACCTTGTGCATCTCCACCAGTTACAGATACCACCCCTGGATGGAGGAAGAGTACTTCCAGAGAAGATGCCACATCTACCTATGAGACAGATAAGGCAAGTCAAGACGATACCACACTCCGGTACTTAGAAGTTTCGTGGCTACGAGATCATTCTCCCACAATATTTCCTAATGTCATTTGTACTAAATCATTCACTTGTACTCACTAAAGGAGAGCTTGAACCTATGTACTTGTGTAAACCCTTCACAATTAATGAGAACTCCTCTATTCCGTGGACGTAGCCAATCTGGGTGAACCACGTACATCTTGTGTTTGCTTTCCTATCTCTATCCATTTATATACTTATCCACACTAATGACCGGAGCAATCTAGCGAAGATCACAAAAAGTGACCGTTTTCGCTACCTAGGATCTATCTTGCAAGAGAACGGAGAATTAGATGGAGATCTCAACCATAGAATACAAGCTGGATGGATGAAGTGTAAGAGTGCATCCGGCGTGTTGTGTGACCGTCGTAGGCCACTGAAGCTCAAGGGAAAATTTTATAGGACGGCAATAAGGCCAGCGATGTTGTATGGCACAGAATGTTGGGCGGTGAAGCATCAACGTACACAAAATGGGTGTGGCGGAGATGAGGATGCTTCGTGGGATGTATGGGCACACGAGAAAGGATAAGATTGGGAATTAGGATATCCGAGGTAAAGTAGGAGTAGCCAAAATTGAAGGAAATATGAGAGAAAATCGGTTCCGGTGGTTTGGACATGTGCAAAGAAGGCCTACTGACGCTCCGGTTCGAAAATGTGACTACGGGACAGAGGTTCGGGGCCGAAGGAGTAGAGGAAGACCTAGGAAAACTTTGGAAGAGACCCTAAGAAAAGACTTGAGTACTTGGATTTAACGGAGGACATGACACAAATGAGCGCAATGACGTTCTAGGATTCATATAGCCGACCCCACTTAGTGGGAAAAGGCTTTGTTGTTGTTGTTGTTAGATATAATTACAAAGCAATGTTAGGAAAACTAAATTTGTAGATAAAATTTGGTAAATTAAATGACATGAAAATTGATGATTGAATTATTACTTAACCATTGATAAACGTGCTCATTTCTATTGGTGACGCATCATTTAGTTTGTAAATTTTGTTTACAAATTTAGTCTCTTTTGCATTATTCATAATTATAACATGACAATATTCAAAATAAACTGGTGTAGCTAAGCTGGTAAGATGCGTTTATTGTTGAAAATGAATCTCACACATTGATGTGATGAGGGACCATGCATGAGTTTATAAGTAAGTTGTGCTACTCTCCATATAGCCAATTGGTTTTATGGTGCAACCCCAACTTTTTGCATAGTATCAGAGCAAGTTGTTTCATGTGTGAAATCAAACAACCACACGCGCTCCACCTCACCATGTTGTGTTGTCCACGTGTTAGACTTGAAAATTTGCCACACGTGAGGAGGAGTGTTGATAATGAATCCTACATTGATGGGAGGCTTATAAGTAAATTGGGCGACTTCCCATATAATCAAATTAGTTTTATGGTGAAGCCCAACTTTTTTCGTTTACCATGAGGTTGGGGATTAAGGGTTGGTTTGGTATTGCTGTGCTTTGAAAAAAAGCTGCTGTGAGAATAAGCGACTGTGCTGTGAGAATAAGCGGCTGTGAAATAAATCAGCAGAGTGTTTGGTAAACTTTTTTGTAAAAGTGCTTTTGGAAAAAAAGCAGTCTAATAGTAGGTCTTTTCATTAAAGAAGCACTGTAACTCCGTGTGCTTTGAAAAAAAACCAGTTTTCCAAAGCTACAAATAGCAGCTTCAGCTTTTTCCTTTGATTTCAGCTTATTCTCACAGCAGCTTCCGAAATAAGCCTTTTTTTTTCAGTTTACCAAACACCTAAAACCCTCACAGCTTTTTTTCATGGGTGCTTTTTTTTTTAAGCACCTCACTTCCAAACTAGGTCTAAAAGTCTCCTACGAGACATTATTTTCACTTTAATTTCACATGTGGGGCCCCACCTGTTGTGGTGGTGAAGTTCGGCGGTGGCTGCTGGCAGCATAATTTTCAACCAAGTCGTCGATGTCAATGGTATTTTCCGGCAATGAAATATTGGATATGTGTTGTGGGCCATAAATGTCAATATAGTCATAAATGACATTATTGCAGAGAAAGAGGTTAACCAAAATAGTTAGGGTTAATCTCAGTTTACTACCATAAAATTTCGTGGTTTTCAACATTTGGTGCATAAAGTTTTTTTCATTCCAGATTTATACTCAAGTCTTAATTTTGAGACAGTTTCGTACATTCATTAAGTTGACTGTTAAGTCAGCCGTTAATTGATGATGTGGCGCTCATGTGGACAATGATTGGACGCCACGTGTTAATATGGGCCCACATAGATATTAAAAAATTAAAAAAATTAATAACTTTAAAAAAAAAAAAAAGGTTAAAAACCTAAATCTGAAATCCCCTTCATCCCTTTCCTCTTTCCCATTTCTTACTCACCATCGCCACCTTTCGTCCCAGTGCTTCCTCCGCTCTCTCCCTCCTTCCTTTCTCTCTCTAAAAATCCCCATCTCAATGAAGCACAGCCCTAAAATTAGTGGCTTCTGTCACTGTTCATCGTCTTCTCCGACGATTTTTCTATTTGCATTCCCGTCTCTCTCGCAAACCCTAGTGTTTTTGTTTGGTTCTTGTTCGGCAAGAGTGTCAGCAGCCCGACCCAATCGCGGCGCGCCACTAGGGCTGTCTCGTCCCCTTGGACTCAAATCGTTCGGGGCGAATCTGAGCCGAATGCGGCCGTTGCTTCGTCGCTATCGACGGCTGTGACTGAGCCAGCTGTCGCCGCCGCGGCGCGTCCGTCCCTTCCTTCCTCTTCTTCGGCTAATCAGACTCTCGAATTCGTCTTCTCCTCCACTGGTGGAGGAGTCGGTGGGTGAGGGCTCAGAGAACGGCAATGCGGGTAAGAGGCCAGCTTGGAACAAGCCTTCTAATGGGGCCGTCAAGGTTGGGTCTGTAATGGGAGCTGTGCCTTGGCCTGCCTTGTCTGAGTCAGCTCGGGCTTCTACCGAATCGTCTTCTGAATCTCCCAAAGGTGTATCAGAACCCTCATTGTTGTCTGTCTCCGTATCGCAGTTTTCTTTCTTGAATCTTTTTGCTATTGTTTGGTTGCTGAGAAAGTTGGGAACTGAATCAAACTATATGCAACACTTGGGTTTTTTTCTGATATACTAATTTTTCATTGAAATTTACCATAATCAAGAAATGCACCATTAGCTCTCTGCATTCGAATGGTGGTTTGCTGATAAATTTTGGGTAGATGCATAATCTTTTTAAATAAAAAGAAAACCTTTGAACAATGAGAAAAAGGACGAAGGGTGGCGATGGTCAGGAAGAAATAGGGGAGAGGAAAGGGATGAAGGGGATTTCAAATTTGAGTTTAGTTTTTTACTTTTTTTCAATATTTAATTTTTAAGTTTTTAATTTTTAATTTTTTTTAATATCTAGGTGGCGTCATGTCATTATTTACTAGGACGTCATATCATCAGTTATACTTAACAGCTAACTTAACGGATGTACCAAATTGTTCCAAAATTAAGACTTGAAGTATAACTCGGATGAAAAAAACTTTATGCATCAAATGTTGAAAACTACGAAATTTCAGGGTATTAAACTGAGATTAACCCATGTAGTTAATATTCTTCCTTTATTTGTTGATTATTGCAGGAAGACATTATCCCAAGGGAAATAGTCATGCAAAGGGTACTCATCTTGCAGTTTACCTAAGATTGGTTGATGCAAAAAAACTACATTCTCGCTCCAAAATCTTTACAAAGTTTTCCTTGCGCTTCGCAGATCATCTGCATTCCAAGCATTGCTTTGGGAAAGGTACAGAGTGGCCCTTTTTATGTGTAATAAGTTATGTATAGTTTCTATATATTTTGCTTTTTATATTTCTATATCTACACTTCTCAATGGAACTGCAAAATTGGGAACAAACGATTTGATTTTCTTCTTGTGGCTACTCACAGGTTCAGCGCTTTTGGTCCAGATGGGGGGTTCCCAACATTCATCACAGTGGTCAGTTTTGATCAGGCAGACAAGGGGCTTTTGATGAACGGAAAAGGGTTCTCGCCGAATCCTTTTCCTGGGATCTTGGGAATCTGTGATCGTAAACGTTCATCGTACGTTGTGCGGTCAGAAATCATTTCAAAATTTAAAATTAAATATAAATAGTACCTAATGAAAACTGATCGTACAATATACGATGAACGGTCATGATCACAGGATCCCCATGAAAAGAATCCGGCGAGGATCCTTTTCCTTGATGAACGATACTTGCATAGTGGATGCAGAGGTCACAGTCTTTGACACTACTAAAGCACTAAGCTTGCCGATATCTTTTGGTAAATAAATTCAAAAACAAAAGAAGATTAACCACCTACTATGCGAGTTTTGAGACTCGTTTTCAAACATGTTAGAAAATTACAATTTTTTCCTCGTTATTTTTTTTTATTTTTTTTTGAACAAATGATATTATCTACTAAATGGGAGCGGGTGAGTTTAGCCTCATAATGGGCTAGTAATAATGTTGTTCATTCGCCCTTGGCGAGAATTGAACCTAAGACCTCTCACTTACAAGTGAAGAGAAATATCACTAGACCAGTGTTCTAAAAATCGGCCTAGGAGGCCACCTAGGCCCTGGGCGGTGCATGCCAACCTTGATTTTGGGCATGGCGTTCTGAAAAATCGGTTGGAAGCTAGCCAGCTACCTAGGCGGAGGTAGGTGGCTAAGTGGTTTTATTTATTTATTCTAAATTAAAAATTAAATAAGTTAACTTAAGGTTCCTGTGTCCACGAGCTCATCCCCTGTTATCCAAGAACACTTATTATGATTATATGCTTAATGTGCTTTAATTTGTAAGTTTGGTGGATACTTGTTGGATACATGTATCATCCAAGAACTCTCATTCTGATTATATGCTCAATGTGCTTTTAAATTGGAAGTATGTTGGATGCTTATTGCATACAGGTATTATCCAAGAACATTCATTTTGATTATATGCTTAATGTGCCTTTAAATTGTAAGCTTGATGGATGCTTGTTGCCTTGTTGGATACATGTATTATCCAAGAACACTCACATAGATTATATGGTTAATGTGTTTTCAAATTGTAAGCTTGTTGGATACATGTACTTTATGTAATCTCTGCTTATTTACACAATATATAATAAATTTATCTAAATCAACCTAGGCGCTAGGCTCCAGCCCGTCGTTCGACTAGCAGCTAGCTCTTTTTAGAACATTGCACTAGACCATAGTACTAAGTGGTATACTTTTATTGTCTGTTTTAGAAAATCTAATAATGTTTCACCAAACTCTTTTCTCTTTATATATAGAGATTAATATAAATTTAAAGTCAAATAGATTTTTAGGAAATTTTCAATAATTTCATATAATGGCATATTATTTGAACTCCATTAAATTTGGTATTTATTGTGATACATTAGTTTATCAATGTGTGACAAAGACATATAATAGTAATAATTTTATTATTCATGTAAAAAAGGATCATGTTTGTAATTATGGGTTGAATTTGTTAAAATTCAGTAATATTTACAAAACAAAGACAAAACTATCTACCAAAGTTAAGAGAAAATTACAAGAAACACGCATAGTTAAATGGTTTACAGCGCGCAACTTAAGATTAGTGAACCCTCTAATAAGTCCTATTAACAAATCGGCGTGATATTTTGAGAAGTTGAAGAATTAAGTGTAATTTGCAAAATATCTTCCTATTAAAACATAACTTTTTTTTTTTCAAGTCATGAAACTTTGTCCTAATTTTATATGTGCTTCAATATCCTAGTGGATAGTGTATGTGGTCGTTCCTTTTTCGAAATTCTGGTTCTCCTAAATTATTATAATAGTTTGAATCAAAGTCTTTTTGTTTGATAATAATAAATCTAAAAAAAAAAATAGTTGTTGCAGTTCTATTGGATTATGAATGATTGTGTAAATCCTAATGTATCTAGGAGTATCTTTTATATTCCTATTAGTAGTTTAATTCATATTAGAGATGTAATGCTATAAGGTTAAGGATTCTACCAATCCTAATACTATAAATAAGGGTACAAAGGGGTGAATCAACACACACCTCATAATTATATATATATTTCGTCTTTCTCTAATGCCGCCGGCCATTCTTCCTCTATGTCCTAAATACAGTTCAGTTAAATAGACCTACAACACGTTATCAGCACACTCTTGCCAGAAGCTAAGGAACTGAAGGATCGTGGAGGAAGCTTTCTTCTACAAATTCAAAGGCTTTCAATTGTTTTATGCCAATCAGGTTCTTTTATAATAAATTAAGATATTTGAAACAACTTTGAAGCATGAAAACCTTCTCCATGATGCATGAACCTCTTATATTTATATTTTCCTTTCAATTATATATATCTTGTCAATATATATACTTGTTCATGCAATACGCAATTATCCTATGTGAAATTTGTGAGTCAAAGCATTGAAATTAATTTAGAAGCAATTATGGTTTTAAACCCTAGAAATTCAAAAAAAAAAAATTGGGATATATGCGACACCGCTGCCGCACCACCGTGGCACCATCGTGGACCATCGCGCTGGCTTGCAGCCCAACCTCTTGGGGAACGATGTCGTTTTGACACCCTGGACCGAGCGTAACAGCCTTTTGGGCTTGTTGCCATTTGAACCCAACCAGGCTTCAGCCTGGGTTAACTAGCACACGGGCCTAAAGCCTAAGTCCACACCTAAGCCCACTCCAGCACAGCCCGTAGCTTTGCTGGGCTTTCCCTTACCCCGGCCTGCGTATACCACAGCCAACCCAGTAGGTTATGCTTATCCCATGGCCCAAAACTAAGCTTCGGCAGGGCCTGCCCCTGCACACCGTTTTGGCCTAAAATGCCAACAACCTTGCTGTTAGGCTTCCCTGTCTCTTGGCCCATGGTCTACAGCCATGTTTGGACTACTTTACAGCCACCCCGAGGCCCACATGCCTTTAAGGCTTCGCCCTACTCGTGGCACCCAAGCCTAAATGCTATTGGGCTATGGTTTTTCGAATCCAATGCTTCTTTTGGCATTCTATATGATTTTAACCTGAATGTTATTATTATGTTTTGCTTCTACTATTGACCTTGTATGGTCCAATCTATTGAATTAATTAAAGTGACCAGCAGTCTATTAATTTGACAATTAATCCAAAATTATTAACCTGAAGTTCACTTTTTGGCATTAATGATTCAATAAATTATTTTGTTTCTTTGAACCGTTGACTATCTTCCGTAGTCTCACTTGGGTTCCTGAAGCAATCCACAAATTCACTACACTTTATTGTATATTGTATTCTGTGTTATTGCAAGTACCCTTATATGAACTAAACGTTCATAACTAAATTGAACCTATAGTTTCGAATTTAGTGCCTTTGAAACCTGAAGTTTTCATTCAAAACTTACCACATGAAACTCGTAGCTTTCATGCTTAAATTAAACCAATACTTGTCCATAGAACCCGTATGTTCTACAATGTATGTCTATGGATTACCATATGACTAACCACATTTTGTTATACCCTCTGTTTTAGGGATATGTCGAACTTGAACAAGCTCGATTTCACCGCTCTAGAAGTCTCTGGAAGAAACTACCTGAAGTGGGTTCAAGACGTGAAGCTCCATCTTACTACAAAGAGTCTCAGAGCTACGATTGAGGAACCAATCGACGATGAACCCGTCGATGAAGCTCATAAAGCTACTGCTAGGATCTTCATTCGAAGACACGTCCACGATGCACTGCAGACCAAGTACATCGCAGAGGAGGATCCCCATACGCTCTGGCCGATCGCTTTGATCACTAGAAAGACATCTACTTGCCTGAAGCGAGGCACAACTGGCAACATTTACGCTTCCAAGATTTTAAGTCTTTGAATGAATACAACTCTGAAGTTTGTAGAATCTGATCACTGCTTAAGTTCTGTAAAGAAGACTTAACCGAACAAGATCTCCTGGAGAAAACCTATTTGATCTTCAATGCCACAAATATTGTCATGCAGCAACAATATAAGGCACAAAAGTTCACCAAATTTTTGGATTTAATATATGTTATCCTGAAGCGCTTGCAACTAATTCTAACAACCACAACCGACGGAAACCTCGTCATGGCTGTGGAAATAAGCGACAAGGCCCACCACTGGCCCAAGATTCACCGAACAGAGGCCCATCCAAGGGAGGAAACTTGACCCAGAAGCGCTAACCCCTTGCCTTTAAGGCCCCAAACTTCAACAACAAGGGAAAAGTTATCGTTTAATCGGATTTGACTGAACTGGACATGTGCTACCACTGTGGATTAAAGGATCATTGGTCAGGCGTATACCGAGCTACCCCCGAGGATATTGCCAAGTATCATTCCCGTCATCAGACTAACTTTATGCATGTGGAACATCCCGAAGATGCTACTATAACTTTAGAGGTTTAAGATTTTCAGGAGGCATCCACTCCTATGGAAGAATAAAGTTTTATATTTCTAAGACATGTTTTAGGGTGTTTTTAACCCCTAGTGGCCGAGCCCACTAGGAGTGGCCGAACCCCCCAAAATTTCGGTTTATGGTTTTATTTTTAGGAAAACTAATGAAAAGGACATGAAAACTTTGAGTTTTAATGATAAAGACAAATAAAGGGTAAAGTGAATAGTACCAGGATTGACTTTTTAGTGTAAAAATGTGGTTTTTCGTTAAAGTGAACAGTACCGGGAGCTTTTCGTTAAAGTTCCCTTAATTTTTTAGACAATTTTTCTAAGTTTTTGGAATTATTTGTTTGGATTGGTTTGTTTTGAACTATGGATATTATTTCTCGAATTGATTAATTAAATGAATGGAATTATATTTATGCATGTGACTGATTCAATTAATTTATTTCTAGGTATGACTAGTGAGGAAGTTACTTGTCTGGTTGATAGTGCAACCACGCACACCATATTGTGTGAGAAACACTATTTTACTAACTTCGTACTTGAGAATGGCACCTCTGACAATCCTCTCAGGCCCATCCTGTCACGCTCCGATCTTGACATACGTCTAAGATCAACATGTGACGTCAACTCAACCATGTTTATTTATCACGTCTCGTCTCTAAGACAAGTCCAAAATGCAATCAATGATTCAACCACGCAGTGACTTTCTTTTATTTCATGGCTGCATCTAACCTTTGCGTTAGACTGCCTACGTACTCTAAATAGGGATCAAGCTATTCGTATTTCACCATCTACTACATTCCGACTTTTATCACATTATATTCTAATAGAAAGGTATAACATCCCTCAATCAATTATTAGAACTTGACAAGCATGAAAGTACTAGATTCAGGGCTACATAACAAACCCACATGACAATTAAGATTTCCAATTCATCCATCATATAAATCACTATGTTTCAACATAATATCGCAATTCATAGTATGCAACATCTCAAAGAACAATCAATGAAGCACAATATTATTCTCTAACCACATTGGTCAATGAGTCCAATCATAATAATAACAACCATATCCAATATCATTCCACAATCACTCTAATTAATCAATTCCATGAATCAAAGATGCACGATATTAACATTTAGCTACGTTACTCAATCAATAAGATCACATATCAATTCACAAAATTTAATAAAGGAACTCTACATAATTCCCTACCTGGATTCCAAGTAATAACATGATAAATATAATTTATACACAATGTCTTCTGTGAGCAATTTCTATTCACTCGAATCTAGTGACGGACTAACCTTATGGGAATGAGCAAGAGTAAGGATTCTGGACCACTCAACGGAATCCAACTAAACTATGGTCGCCTATCGAAATGTACCAAGTACAAATAATCATCATCACCCATAGAATGCGTATGGTCCCCAATTGCAGATAAACCAACCAGAACCATAAGCATAGTTTAATCGTGCATGCAGTGATCACCCATCGCGGATATACCAAGCATGATCACTCCTGTAATACATATGGTGACCCATCGCTGAACCAAGCAGGACCACATCCTAACTCTAGGTACGGATATACCAAGCTTGATCACTCCTAGAATGCGTATGGTCCCCCATTGCAAATAAACCAAGCAGAACCATATGCATAGTCTAATAACGTAGGCAGTGATCACTCATTGCGGATATACCAAGCATGATCACCTCTAACAGTCATTCATCGCAGATATACCAAGCAGGACTGTATCCTATAGCTCTAGGTAGTGATCACTCATCGTAGATCTACCAAGCATGATCACTCCTAGAATGCATATGGTCCCACATTGCGGATATACCAAGTAGAACCATACGCATAGTTTAATCGTGCAGGTAGTGATTACCCATCGCAGATATATCAAGCATGATCACTCATGTAATACGTATGGTCCTTTATCGCAGATATACCAAGCAAGACCATTTATGTACCATTGCTACATGGTGCAGTACATTTAACACACAACCAACCCCTACCTCAACCCCTATGATTTACAACCGTAAGAACTTATAGTATTGTCTTCTCACGACCATTAACTATTTTGTCATACCAGATATAAGTTTTAAATAATACTTCTAATAAGATTCTAGGCTCGCATTTCTATACTAGCAATTGTACATTTCATTCATGTCATCTAGAAGTTCAGTAAATATGTATAACACAATAAGGTGCCACTTGCATGTAAATCGAGATGCTCATCACCTGGGATAACTCGCTAACTAAGATAGGCTCGCTATGCTCCACTAGGTATCTAGTAATGCTACTTTTAGTGCTCACGAACGTTTCAGAACATCTTGACCAAAGTCAATCCTAGTAATCCAATCAGGAAGATCCGTCCACCGGACTTTTGTTTTGTAAATTCCTAAAGTTCTTAAATATTATGTACAAGAACATACTAATGTTTAGTGACGATTTAACGGTCGGATCATCGTTCTCTACAATGGTAAAATGGTATTCCTTAATGAAACCAGATTCAAATAACAAAATTTCACGAATCGAGTGTCAAATATGGAACTAGGCTATCAAATGTAGCCTAGAAGGATCAAATGGTTCCTCAGGCCACGCGTCGCCGCCTTGACTTGCCGGAAAATTCACCTAACTTAAAAAATACCAAATTTTATAGAATTGTAGAACACATCAAGGGGAATAACTTTCATACTTGGGCCGAAGTCCAATTTGGCCAAGAAATACCTGAAAATGCCCTCGACTCGTCATAAATCCTATAAAGGGTACACTTCGACTCGACAGAAAAACAACCTCCAACGCCTCAATCTCAGCTTGGGTTTTGTTCCTGGGGTTGAGAGAAGTTGTTTGATGGTGGTGATCAACGACATAACTCACAGAAACGGCGGATCACAGCTGTGGAGCTCCGAAGAAGACGAAGTTTGTTCGTCGTGAAAACACCACTAATAGCCATCAAGTTTGTGTGGAAATTAAAGAGGGAAGGTCAGTAAGGCCTGGTTTGGTACTAAGGTGATTCTGAAAAAAAAAAAACGGTATAAAAAAAAGCTGGGAGCTTTTTTGTGTTTGGTAAACATTCAGCTTCAACTTTTTTTCACAGTTTTGGGTGAAAAAAAAGCCAAAAACAAGAAGCTGCAAAACCTAGCTTTGAAAAACCGGCTTTTTTTCACATATGTTTTACATAAAAGTTTACCAAACACTATAATACAAGTTTTTTTTTTCAAAAGCATTTTTACAAAAAAGTTTACCAAACACTCTACAACTTTATTTCACAGCCGCTTATTCTCACGGCACAGCAGAAACAACTTTTTTTCAAAACACAGCAATACCAAACCAGCCCTAAGTCTAGTAGTGGTGGTGGGTGACTCCAACTTGCCGAAAAACTGATGGAAACGGCGATGGAAGAAGCCGTCAGAAACCGGGTCAAACCCGGGTCAAAAGGGTCTTTCCCTGGTTGGCTGTTTCTCCCCCTCTTTCATTTCCCTCTTTTCCCCCTTTTTGATTTGTCCCCCTTTCCCTCATTTCTCTCCATTCCTCCCTCTCTCCTATTGCCTATGGCAGATTCTAATCTTTTTTTTTTCTTTTCTCTCATTTTCTTCTTTTCTAATTGGTCTTTTCGCAAAGTAATAGGAACCCCTAAAAATATTGAATCCCTATTTTATTTAAAAAATTCTAACATCCATAACTTTTCTTTCCTCATCCCAATTCACGAATGGCCTTCGTCTACGGGCTTGTGGGGTCGAGCTCAATTCGAAAACATTAAGAGTGACCCCCGAAGGTCTATAGATTTTAAATAATTATTTTCAAAAATTCAAACTTTGTAATTAAGTAATTAAAATCTATAATTAATTTAAATTCTCGAAAATACTATAAAATTCCGCTAATACGAAATATGTAAATTACAATAGTGAAATCCAGGAACGGGATTTTACATATCCAACCTCATAGAAGGATACAGAAAGGCCCGTATAATGTTGTCCAATGGTACTGAATTAACCATTAAAGAGGAACTCTATTCTCCACGTTCTGGAAGAACGTTGCTAAGTTTTAAAGATATTCGAGATAATCAATATCATATTGAAATCACTAAAGAGAATGGTTCTGAATTTCTTTGTATCACTTCTTACGAATATGGTCGGAAGTGTATTCACGAGAAACTGGAACGTCTCCCAAGTGGGTTGTACATAACAACCATTCGAGCCCTAGAGACACACCACGTGGCCGGCCCTATGGCTGGGTTCCAGGAAACTTTCCTACTTTGGCATGATCGAATTGGGACACCTCGGACAAGATATGATGCGTCGTATCCTCAAAGTATCATATGGGCATCATTTAAAATCTTATCCTGGCCATTCGCTTTGCAAATCATGCTCCCTAGGGAAGTTGAACATTCAACCTTCAATTACAAAGATTATTTTACGACCCCCTAAATTTCTTCAGAGGATTCAAGGGGATATTTGTTGACCTATCCAACCAACATGCGGACCATTTAGGTACTTCACGATGTTGGTTGATGCATCGACACGATGGTCATATGTCTATTTATTTTCCACACACAATGCTGCATTTGCGAAATTCCTAGCACAAATTATTAAGCTTAGGGCTCATCACCCTAATTATTCGATCAAGTTGATTCAGCTGGATAATGCTGGAGAGTTTACGCCACAGACTTTTGATGATTATTGCATATTTGTTGGTATTACTGTTGAACATCATGTACCCCATGTTCACCCCCAAAGCGGCATGGCAAAAGCTTTCATAAAGCGCCTTCAAATGATAGCTTGGACTTTGGTTATGAGAACCAACTTGCCGATATCTGCCTAAGGCCACGCAATATTGCATGCAGCTATGTTGGTCTGCCTGAGGCCCACCGCTACCTAACCTCATTCACCGTTACAGATGGTTACTGGATACGAACCTGACGTGTAGCATTTACATGTGTTTGGGTGCGTAGTTTATGTGCCAATAACGCCGCCACTATGTACCAAAAATAGGTCATCAGAGAAAGTAGGAATCTATGTCGGT